CCCCCCCCCCCCCCCCCCCCTCCATCGATTTTTCTGCCTCCCATTTGTCCTCATCATATTTTTTTGTCTAGTCGTTGAAAATTTTATCTTCATGTTTGCCGGCTGGCATCGATTTCACTCTTATAAGGCTTCTTTATTTCACTTTTCGTCAAACACTCATCTACCTATCTCTTGCACGGTTCTTCCTGCCGTCTTCAGTACCAGTGATCCAGAAATTATTTGAAGAAGACGTTGTCTACGCGACCATTCGATTCACTACACAAATAAATACCAGACAGAAAGGAAGACTCAATGCATCGATGTGTCATGCGAGGTGACTATTCACGTGTGCCCAATAATACCAGCGACACAGGCACACAGAAGTTCTCTGCGACAAACTGATTCACTCCAAACTTTCCCAGGTGCAAATTGGGGTGTCAAGTCAACACTTGGTTACTTGACTTGCTCGTCGAGTCGTCGAGATTTACTTTTTTTTTTCCGTTCAATTGGGGGACACGGCAGTCTATGTTGGAAACAAATGCTCCACCTGTGGTGGACTAACCGTCTAACCATACTAAGGGGATGGCCGTTGAGGTTGGGTCCAACTCCGGGTTTGTTGTGCTCATCACCTCGAGTACAATACTTGCAATCTGACAACTCCCTACAGGAGAGCTTAGGTTTGGCTCAAAACTTGGAGATGACGTTTTATGTACGGAAGGGCTCCGAAAATTGAACACACGTAGTCTATACATATATCAAAAGGGTTGTCAGTGCCTCGGAGATCCGATGAGAGGGCACAGGCACCCTGCGGTGCCCCGGACACAGCAGGCAGCGTGTCGCGTGGTGAGTGCTGTTCAGAAATTGATTGGCAAACTCTATCATGCAGTTCGTGGTCGAGTCGTTCTTCATGCATGTGCTTTTTTTTACAAGGTAAACATAACCTCACAGAGACTACTACCCGTTCGAGAAATAACCTCAAGTCAAAAGGGATGTGGTGAAGTCTTTTCAGTGAATGGATTGAAACCAACTGGAGACTTGCAGTTTGCTCTTGGTCAGGCGTACATTTCCCCCCCTTATATTGATGTGCTCGTTCACCAGCAAACAACAGACCCCGCCTTCCTACACTGGCGATGAGGAGAAGGTAAGGCTTGCGATCCTAATACTCGCGACAAAAAAGAAATGAACGTACAAGCACCGCAAACGGAATGCGGAGGAAAAAATAAGAAAAAAAAACTCCCTTAACATGAAAAAGTAAGCGCGACGCCGCTTCGGTGAGCGTCCAAAAACACTCCCAAAAAAAAATGTAGTAACCCGATATCGACAGCCACCTGCATACAACACAACATGCATGGCGTGCGGCGTATACACACTCCCTTGCACAGAAAAAGACACCACAAATGAGACTAATATGATTGCTCAACACGGCACAACGCACACCATCACCACCTACTACGCACAAGGCTGACGTGTCTCTCTGTTGGTGAGTTTTAAGCCGAATTCAGCAGCGCGCACGGTCGGCAAAAGGACAACCAAGAAAGCATGCATACAACGCCCCGACATGCATATTTTTCACACACGCACGCGGCAAACGGCGTGTTCGCACTCGGTGACTCGATTTGCCAACCAACAGTAGTGAAGTCGATTACTACTACTCGTACGGCATCGCGAAAAAACACGACACCGTCAATACACTCCCCTCCTTCCCGTGGCGCTCCCGCATTGCAAGAACAGCGCAAGACACCCCCAGACTTGGACAGCCGATCTGACTAATCATAGTGGTGAAATCGACTATTTCTCCCACAGAAGCGCGAAAACCAAGAGATCGTTATGTACAATACCCCCGGTCCCTATGGCCCTTGAACCTCGCAAGACGCCACCATTTTAACAGTCCACGCGTCATAGGAAAGAGTCGCGCCAGATATACCTAATGATTTCACGGGATCCCCGTTTCATTTATCGACCATGCGCTCTACGTCATTTTTTTTTCTTAGCAACACACACGCACGGCAGACGCAGAAGCAGAGGACAGGATGAATGAACTACAACCTGGTAAACACATCGTAGCAGTAAGAGAAAGGAGTAAAAAAGGCACCGCCATGGCGATTTGCAAGGAATTTCGGCCAATCAGAAATCAGTGACCTAGGAAAACTGTGGGCACTTACATGCCTCATCCCACTCTCACACGCGAGCGTTTCGGCCGAGGAGTGCCGAAAGACCCACCCCGACTCGCAGCACTAGTGCTGTGGACAGACATTGATGCGCCAAGCGCCACCGACTACGTTGTGGTCCGAATCGGAGGAGGAAACAGCACGAAAAAAGGAGAACAAGAACAAAAAATGATCAGGGGAGGACCTGCCCTGCCAAAGTTGTTCGTGTATCGCTAACGACCCGCCCGAACATCACCCCCAACCCCAACCCTGCCCCTAGAAACAAAAGGAGGACTGCATATCGCAATCGCATCAATCCGTAGAGAATCCAAGCAAGTCGAACAAATTCACCAGAAGACCCACACACGCACACACACAAGAAAATGAACACAAAAAAGGGTTACGCATACAGCCGCTGATTTCCAGACATACTGGTGCTTTCGAAAGAGGCGCCCGGTGAAGGTGATAGTGGCTCTACAAAGGAGAGGACCAGCCTTCCTTCATCTCCTCCGAGACACGTTTTCAACGGTCCCGAAAAGCNTGCCTCCTCTCCTTGAGGACATGTGCATGATACGTCACAAGCGCGAATGATGGGAGTCCCCCCCTGCTTTTACTGTGGTCCGGATTCGACGAGCACGTACCCCCCCCCCCCCCCCCCCCCCCCCCCTTCGTTCCGCGGTGAAGGGCCTCTCAACCCTAGCCGTTCGCGATTGATCCCGACACGGGGACCGGCACACCGTCAACGAACTCCTCGACCTGAGCGCATCAGAGCGGCAAGGGGATGGGACGCAAGGGCAACACAAAGTGGGTGGCACAAGTGATGTGAGCGGAGGAGGCATCGGTGCCATGCAACGGAGGCGTTGCCACAAGCGGGGGCGGGGGAAGCAACCACCTGCGAAACAGCGACAAAGTCCCCTGCCCTTCCTGTTCCCTTTTCACCCAGCCATAAGTTGCACAGCAGTCGGGACCGACTGCGGCTGGTCTACCGCACCAACCATGACCTTCTCTGCAACTGCAACTGCAAAGGTGTCAGTCCTGCCGGTCGTGCGCGAAACGGGTCGCTCGCACAGCAATGCAGCCGGTTTCTGAGGGAATCAAATCCGGGCGGTTGGTACACGGAGATGAGATGCGTGGGCCTTCAAAAGTCGTCGTGCTTCTGGTCTACTCCGGGCACAGCCAGCTGGCTGTGACCGTGACACTCGGTCTGTCTTTTACCTGGCCACGACAATCCGTTGCAGAGGGAGAGGTGCCCACGCTCAAGCGGCAGCATCACTACCATCGCCACTGCCACCGCCACCAAAAACAACAAAACCACCACCAACAACAACACCAACACCAACAGCAGCAGCAGCAGCAGCAGCAGCAGCAGCAGCAGCAGCAACGACGTACAATACTAGTCATCCCACCACCACCATCCTCCTATCCTCTTGCCTTGGTTTCTCTCGTCCCGTCCGGGTGCACCACCGTCTTTTCGGTCCTGGACTTGGTGCGGCGGACACCGTCGGCCCCGATCGTCGTAGAAGTCGACGTGCTGGTGGACACCCCTCCGCCCATGTTGCTGCTGCTCATGCTGCTCATGCTGAAGCCGCCGCCGCCAAAGAAGTCGTCGCCGCCCATCATGAAACCGTGACCGGGGAAGAGACTCCCTGCCGCTTGTTGCGTCGTCGTTGTCGTCGTCGTCGTCGTCGTCGTCGTTTTCATTTCGTTGTTGTAACGTAGTCGTCGAATTTGTGGTGGCAATGGTGATGGCGGCAGTAGGGGTGGTTGGCCGTTTGCGATTGGAAGTCGTGGGGCGGCAGAAGACGAACCGCACGCGCGGGGTCGACGTCGCGATATGACGTGCACCACGACAGTTCAAGTAGTGGAGACGGAACACGAACAGGAGGGAAACAAATCGCTTACGTCACACGGAGGGCTGTAGTGCTCGCGGCTGGACGGGTGCAATTCAAACATAGTAGTAACAACCAGGGCAGGGCCTCGTAAAGATGAACAGCAGGAAACCATGCCCCCAGGAACACAAAGCCGTGATACAGGCCCGTAATGACATAGACGACAGGCGGGTCTGCAGTTGCACGGATGCACCCTTACAGGGTATGGGATGTAGCACGACCTGCACTCAAACGTGTACTGGATCTGGTGCCACAACTGCACCTGGTACGACTGGATCTAATGCCCCTGCTGGATCTGATGGACACTACTGTACCTGGTGCCACTGCTGCTGTTGAATTTCATCGGTCATGGTATGCCCTTGCAGTCACGGTACTGTACCTCGAAAGTGCGGAATGCCGGCAAGAAAAAACAACCGCTCTACAACGGGATTCCCACACTGTCCTTAGTCAGCTCAGTCGCCAAAACCCCCGTGTTGCGGGATTCTTGCCAACCACATCGGGCCCTGCACTTGTAACTGGTCCCCGCACTATTGACGGAACTGGGCCTGCAATGTACAATCATTGCACTGACGCGTGCATCTTTCTGCATCACACCGCCAAAAGGAGTGTTGCTGAAAACTCTTGTCAAGTCATGTCCACCGTCATCTCCGCTATAACGACACCTCCCCCCCCGTGAAGGGCAATGCTTAATGCTCCGTCCTCTCGAGGACGCGTGCTCAGTGGTCTACCCACTATCGCATGCACAACATGAGTGCTCGCCGCCTTCGCGCTTCAAGGACACCGGCCCTTACGAGGGACATCATATTCTTCAGAAGCATGATGGTACATAAACCGCAAAGAAAAAAAAAAGAAACACTCCAAGGATAAAAACCGAAAGAAAAAAAATGTCCCCGACATACGGGAACGCTACATCTGTTCTGTTAATAACAACAATAGCTGTCCTTAAGAAGCGGAAACAACCACTCTGTAGGAAGGAACGCGAGAACGACACTGTCGGCCTAACCCCCTCTTACCGAATCCTCCGCCACCACCGCCGCCGCCGCCGCGCCGCGAACCTCCCCGGCGACGGTCACCGCTGCCACCCGCCCCGCCGCCGCCGCCAAAGAACGGGTCTTGGTCAAAGAAGCCACCCGCGTCCATCATTCCGAACAAGTCTCCTCCAATTCCGCGACCGTTATTAGCCCCCGCTCTCCCGAAGAAGGATTCGAACATCTCGAAGGGGTCTCGCATCCCGTGCGGGAAGGGGTTTTGCTGGTTGTACTGGTGCCGCGTATCAAGGGGATTGGGGGGGGGGGGGGGGGGG